AAAGATCACGATATTTAGTAGCCAACTACACCACTAACACGTGCATTGCACGTGCATCTAACTAGTATCATAAAAAATCTCAGTAGCATATGAAGGTTTTTGTCCCACCTCAGATTCATTGACCTTCTGCACACTCTCCAACAGCTCACCAGTTTCCAAGTCAGTCACTACAAATGTGGGTGGTACATTCGCATCCCATGACAACAATTCCAATACTTCAACTTTAGGCAAACAATACAAATATGCAACTCTTTTGTCACCAAGTGATTTCATTACAATCATGAAGTCTACATCAGTAAGTAACTAGAATGATGCCTCGCTCAACCTTTTTTTTCAAGCCTATACAGATAACCTCATTGGATTAAAGTACCCCAACCTCTTCATTACATAGTCTAATAGAAATCAATTAAACAAATTTGGTCCACATAATCAAGATAGCTATCTTACCGTGTTCATACATATAATTTCACATCTTAGAAATTAGAAACCCACCATGGTTCAGTGGGATTATGAAATATGCAGAGTTCTATCCTAAAAAAGAAAAAAAATTACACACTACAATCAGAACAAATGTGGTTCAATCAATAAACATTACCGGCCTATTCATTATAACATTTTGACCATATACTCCACTTTAGTGGTGGCAATCGAGCCGAGGGGCTCGGCCAATTGGCTCGCATTGTAGCGGCCCACGAGCCGAGCTGATCGGCTCGCTAGACGAGCGACTCGTCGAGCAGCTCGCTACGAGCCCACGAGCTGCTTAGCTCATGGGCTCGTTTTTAAAAATAATAATAATAATGGCAAAAAGCCATAAATTCACTGACCAGAACAGGTCACTGAATAAATTCAGAGACCATTTTGGTAACTGAATTTTTTTTTTTTTTTTTCATTTTTTTCTCTATAAATACTCACCCCCTAATTAACATTTTTTCACACCAATCCTTTCATTCTATACTCTACTCTCTACAATTTACAAATTATCAACATTCAACAATATTAATTCATTTCATTCTATTATCATCTTCATCTTCTATATTTTTTTTACATTATTATCTTGATTTTGCTTTTACAATTCATTTTATACACTACTACATAATCTTCATTCACTTCTCAATTCTACGTTTCTATTTTCTACGTTCTACTTCAAATCTTCAATATTCAACTTCTATTATTAACAAATGGATTCACGAGTATTTGTTGAAAACTTGTTCGATATGAAAGACAAAACACCTGCCTAAAATCAAATTGGGAATGAATTCGTTGGTCTCAATGAATTACCAATTTTAGAAAACATTCAAGATTTCGACATTCGTGAAAGTAGTCATCCAATTGATTTGGATGATTTTGATGTTAATCCTAGTGTTCTAATTGATTCGGAACGAGATGAAGAACCTACATTAAATATTCCCGATGCAAGAGGGAAGAGAAAGGGAAAGAAGAGACAAAATGTTGGGACCATTTCAAATTGGTTTACACTGATAGTATGGTCGATGGACTTCCAGAAACCAAAGCAGTATGTAAATACTGCCACAACGACTGTCATGACAAAAAGGTATTGGAACTACTCACCTCAACCGTCACTATAAAAACTGTGCGGCCAAACATGGGCTTCTTCCAGCTTGTCAAACACAACTACAGTTTGGTACTCTAGGCGCCGGTGCTACTACTACGCCACTTTTTGCGTGGATGTATTCGGAGGAGCAAGTTCGAACGGGGAATGGTGAAATTTGTTGCCGCGGCGAAGTTGCCACTAGCTATAGCGAACAACCAACATTTCATCAACTACGTCAAATAATATCTTCAATCAAGGTACGTTGGGGTAAGTCGAAATACTTTTCGATCTGATACAATTGAATATTTTCTTAATTCAAAGAAATTACTGATTGCGGATTTAGAAAAATATGGGGGTGTGATATCTTTAACATCGGATATGTGGGGAGAGATTAATAAGAGAGGTTATATATTTGTAACTGCACGCATATCCGCTTTGGGTCATGCACAAGTTGTTCGTGTACAATTTTTAACTCCGCCTACTAGAAATTAAAGTAGTCGGTCCCAAACCCGAATAAAGGAGGAGAGTTTATCTTTTTTAAAAAAAAAAAAATATTTTGAAAAATGTATATTTAAAAAATTGTTTACAAAATGTGTNTAGTATAAAAGGGTAAACAAAAAACAAAACTTAACAAATAAAATATTTTGGAAAATGTATATTTAAAAAAAATAGAAAATGTGTATTTATAATTATATATATTTTTTGAATTTCAAGTTTAGTTTAGTAGTGTAGTAAAAATAATTAAAAAAGACGAGCCGGTGAGCCGAAGGACTTGTTTTGGCCGAGCTTGGCCACGAGCCGAGCTCACCCAAAAACCAACGAGCCGAGCTTGGCCTCTCGCAGGAGCCGAGCTCATGTGGGCATGGGCCGAGCCCGCTCAGTTCGGCTCATTGCCACCACTACTCCATTTCATTCAATTTGTCTAAGCCCTAGCTATTATATTTACGACAAACTACCAAACACAAAATTGATTATGACAAATAGTGTCGATGTCAAAAAATGTATGGACCAGTTCAAGTCAACTTTGAGTGCAAATAAGGATTTTTATTCATAGTTCATTACAAACTACAAGACTTTTTATCCAATGAGATATTTGAAATATGAAATTGTTCCGATTCCCCTCCTTTTTCCTAAGGATACCATGCTCCTTTTTATAGGAAAAGTTGAGCCAGTATCTTTCATATTCCTATCTTGTCAACAATAGTACCAAGCTAAGAAAGTACAACAATGGCATATTCCCATTGGTTGCTGAGATCGGCTCCATCAGGCTATCATGAAACCGTCCTCTAGATGGGTCCCAAGTAATTAATGAACCGATTAGAGAACAAAGCTATATCATATGATTAGTGGAATAGGTGGACGCTGACGTAAGTACTAAATGTAATTAATTGATTGAATGTTTTAACACTGTGTAAGGAATCTACAAGCATTATGTTTTCCCAAACCACGGCAAGTACGAGCTGACCTTACAGATCCGACCTTAATTTAGCGTAAGCTGGGTGCACTTAACAAACGGACTTAATTAGGTCGTATGTTGGACCTAACAAACGGACAAATAGGTTCAAGAACTTCATGATAATGATACAAGGTTTTTCACAAAGACTACAATTTTTAGAAGTTTACTCCAAAAACTATCACTAGCCTTGAAGATACTTGAAGAAATTTACCACATATGCGTTCGGGGAAGGATCATCTAACATGGCAAAAGCATCCGACATCTCTTTTGGGTTTCAAACGAGTTCATTGTGGAAGATTTTTGAACAATTTTCTTCTCCTATTTGTAAGCGGAGTATGTGAAGAGAAATAACTGAAAATATTGATTTAAAATTGTTTTAACTGAATAGATGGTTTTAGCCTTCCTTATTCTGATAAAAAAATGGTCAAGTTTTAATTTTGGTGGTCAACTGACGATAAATTGGACTGTTTCCATTCATTTGGGCTTCAAGTGCAACATTTTAAAAGGTTTGGGGGTGATGGTTGTAATAAATGAAGGTTAATGAAAAGTCTACAACGTTTTGAAGGGTTTGAGCACAGCTGCAATTATCCATTTATTTTATTCAAATGATAAATATAACATATATGATAAATTTAAAATTTGACTATAAGTAGTTCTATAAAATATAAGAGAGCTGTTATTTTCATCAATCATTCTTATATATGTATCTCACTCTAAATCTATCTCAATTAAAATTTTAAATTTTTAAAAAGTATTATACTCATACATATTAGATTCCAACATTGCCCATATTACATTAATGCACACAATTTTTATATATCTATCATTAAGTATATTTGTTCAATTTTGTGTTGTGGGTCATGTTAAACCTCAGGCCAGCCAGCATCATTTATAAGCACCCGGCATCTCCAATCCCAACCCACACTTCATCCCTAAAGCAAAAGCAAGAGAGAGAAGTTGGAGAGAGAGAGAGAGAGAGAGGGAGAGGAAAGAGAATGCTAGAAAAAGAAGCTCTCAATAAAGAGGAGAATTCAAGAAGGAAGAATTTTGATGCAACCCTCTATAAAAATGACTATACTTTGTGGACATTAAAGAGCCAATTATCTCTCGCACAATCTGGGCAGATTTTAGGAAGTCTAAGTATCGATGAAACCTTAATAAAAGAAGACGAAGAGATGACCAAATCTGCACTTTCTACTTTTAGGGCTAAGGAAAAGGAGATTGAAAAGAAGCAGCTTGAGGTTAAAAAGAGAGTTCAAGCAGAGTTGGGCAGTATTCAAGAAGAAACTCAGCATTGGGTCTAGGGGTGGGTAAAACCCGGTCGAACCCATCAAAACCACCCAACCCGAACCAACCCGATCAGTTTGGATTGGTTTTTTTGATTTTTTACATGGATTGGGTGGGTTGATTGTGTAGGCGGGTTGGATTGGGTCAGGTTATGAGTTAACTCATGAAAATTGAATAAACCTACCGAATCCGACCAATCTACTTTAAAAATAAATAAAATAAAATAAAATGCTTAAAAAGTAGAAGGAACCTAAAAAGTATGAGTGGATAGTGTACCTCTAATTAGTTTGGTGCATTTTACAGGAGGAGTTTACTCTCATTCCCACAAGAAATGCAGTATAATTTTCCATGTTATGTTAAATGCAATTTGTTCTTTGTAAACTCGGATAATGAGAATTGAATAAAATAATAGATAATTTTATTTATTTACCTATTATTTAATCTTGTCTTTTCAAATTTAGTATAATAGACAATTGAATGATTTTAATTTTTGTTGACAAGTTGTCACAAACTGACCCATCCAACCCAACCCGATCGATACTTGATTGGGTTGGGTTATGTTGAGTTTCAACCTTTACACGGGTTGGATTAGGTTAAATTTTGATCGATTATCGATCAGGTTGGGTTAGGTTGGGTTTCAACCTTTACACGGGTTGGATTGGGTTAACTTTTGATCAAATCAATCATATTGGGTTGGATTTTGGTTGAGACAAAAATCGATCCAACTCAACCCATGCCCACCCCTAATTGGGCCACCACCCGTAAAAGACTTTATTTGGTTTTATTCATGTCTATTTAAGGAAATTTATATATTGTGAAAAATATAATATAATTTTTTTTAAAAGGTAGATAGATATATAAAAATTGTGGATGAAAATAATGACTCCTATTGTAAATAGTATGATTATTAGTGAGTGACAATTATACCCATGCAGCCCTAATTATTATTGACATTGTAACCCTAGTTATTATTACCATTGTAACCCTAATTCTTCCCTATAAATGAGGCTCTAGTTCTGAAAGTTTATTACTTCTCTACTTTGTTCTTTATTTCTCTCTAGCTTATAAAAGTTATCAACATGATTCTCTCAAAATCAAAGTGAATTAATTAAAAGGTAATAATTTTTATAAGTATAATCATTAGTAATATGTATCAAAATAAATTTGGTGACATGTGATTTTTTTATATACAAATGCATTAAAATTCAAGGGTGTTGCTTCTTTCTTCGAAATCAATTATTCTATATCATTCTGTAGCAATTAATTTTTGTCGCAATCATTCTGCCCAATCAATTTTTTTATATACACATTTGCCGAAATCAATTTGTGTGTATTCATTAGATGATTATGTTATATTGATAAGTACGTTTTACATACTTATTTTACTTTCAAAACATGAGCAATTGTTGATTAATATGTTGTAATATAGTTTAATTCTATGCAATTCATATATTGCAGGACAAGTGATGAATGTAGCTGAAATAACAAGCAACAAGTTAAAAATAACCAAAATGGAGGATAACAAAAGTTAAGGGACAAAA